CTTCAAGCTCATACAATCCTCTTTTTACACTCTCTTGTGCTATCCCTTTTATTTTGTCAAAATAGCTTTGACTTTGGTTGTTTTTTTTCTGCTTATTTTTTATTCTGAATTGGAAATGTACTGCTAGGGTATTTCCCACAAGTCAGTGAGGTCATGTACAAGCTCGCTAAGAAAATCATCTCTTTGTGCAAAGGTAAATTCATCACAGTTTCTGGAAGTATTCTGGAAGCCATGCATGAAAATAAATTGGGCTGAAAAAGCTGTGAATGAACACAGATGAATCTGTGAGCAAAATATAACATATGAGAAGATGACCTGTATGAAAGACAAGACACTGGTAAAATTCCTCAGGATCAGTCTGGGATTATTATCCTGCCACCACTGAATGTTTCTTTAACATTTATCATCTATTTCCATGCACATAACTATTGCCATTTCCAGGCAGATACATGCACACAAATACGTGCATATATAAATCCTAGAGATACCACTGAAACCAAAATTTTGAGAGGCACTGTCAGTGCAGGAGGAGTTTTTGGACATCAGAAGGGATTTCCCCAGGGAAAGGGAGGTCAGGAATTGGAACTGCCCAGGGAGAAGTTGGAGTCCCCCTCCCTGGAGGTGTCCAAGGAGGCCTGGACGTGGCACCGAGAGCTCTGGGCTGGGTGACGAGGTGGGGATCGGGTGACAGGTTGCACTCGATGGCTGGGAGGGCTTTTCCAGCCTCAGGGATTCTGGGATTCTGTGATAACCTAACAATCCTGAGGAAAAGAGTTAAGGAAAACGGGGTAATGGAACCCACAGTACAAAACACCATCACACCCTTCTTCACAAGAACACCAAAATAACCAACTAAAATAACCAACTGAAGTACAGCAAGTGTCGCCAACTATTCAGCCACAAATTTTCTGCAAGCCACAGAAAACAAACACACAGATTACATTACAGGTCATGTATTTCCAGTGGAGACAAGAACACTCTGATGGCACCCCACGTGGCAGAACAGACATCGCCAGTCAGGGATCTTGTCCCCTGCATCACCTGCTCTGTGCTGGAAGAACAAACCCTGCCCCATCTGAAGCACTGCACCGTATCAGTAACGATTTAATTGCCAGCACTAAACCACGGAGTTTGTCCCAAGAGCGTTCTAAGCAAGCTGAAAATGCTGCCTGGGCACGGCAGGGACCTCCAGCAGGACAGAAGGTCCTGGAGCCAAGTGACTGCAGGGGCAGCGCCCTCAGGAGCAGGGGTCACAGCACGGGGGGCTCGGAGCAGAGCAGCATGCCACAGCAGCCACAGCAGCATGCCTCAGCAGATGCAGCACCATGCCACAGCAGTCACAGCAGCATGCCACAGCAGTCACAGCAGCATGCCACAGCAGATGCAGCACCATGCCATGGCACTCACAGCAGCATGCCTCAGCAGCAGCAGCATGCCTCAGCAGATGCAGCAGCACGCCACAGCAGTCACAGCAGCATGCCACAGCAGCAGCAGCGTGCCACAGCAGTCACAGCATGCCACAGCAGCATGCCACAGCAGCAGCAGCATGCCACAGCAGTCACAGCAGCACGCCACAGCAGCAGCAGCGTGCCACAGCCCTCGCAGCAGCAGCATGCCACAGCAGATGCAGCAGCACGCCACAGCAGATGCAGCAGCACGCCACAGCAGATGCAGCACCATGCCACAGCAGTCACAGCAGCATGCCTCAGCAGTCACAGCAGCAGCATGCCACAGCAGATGCAGCAGCATGCCACGGCACTCACAGCAGCATGCCACAGCAGCCGCAACATGCCTCAGCAGATGCAGCAGCATGCCACAGCAGTCACAGTAGCATGCCACAGCACTCGCAGCAGCATGCCACAGCAGTCACAGCAGCATGCCACAGCACTCGCAGCAGCATGCCACAGCAGTCACAGCAGCATGCCACAGCACTCGCAGCAGCAGCATGCCACAGCAGTTGCAGCAGGCTGTGCAGCTGCTGGCTGCAGCACAGAGAGCCCACTGCCTCCTCCAGCCACCCCGACAATGAACACCTCAAATCTGCCCTCCAAACACCAAAACCCAAACCAGCTGGTGCTGTCCACCTGCAACCAGGTGACGTTTGTGACATTTGCACAGCCTGCAAATGACACAGCTAAGGGTGGGCAAGAAAAGAAAAACAACTGGAAGAGAAAAACCTGCTCCAGTGGCAATGAGCAACAGATGAGTTTGCACAAGGGTGAGGGCTGGTTCCTGCCCCTGATGCTGTCCTTCTGCAGCTCTTGTTACAGGGACACGTGCCTTAAGGGAGACCAAATGTTCTGCAGAGTTGATAGAGGATGTAAAAATTAAATGTAATCAAGTAAAACATGATAACCTCAACAAGCTGACAGCAAGAAATAACACCCTTTATCTGTTTCTGTACGTAGATAATATATATCTGTATCTATCCACACGTGAGGCACAAGGGGTAAAGTACTCGGTGTGTTTAATAAATCATTTATGTCTTTGCTGAATATCCAAAATGCATTTCCATACAGATACTGCATCCAGCAGTATCACTCAGTGAGCTTGCTGATCCATTCCAACAGGCGTCAGCAGGAAGGACAGGCTGACACAGCAGAAACAAACTAATGCAGAATGGGGTTCCCTCTCACCAGTGTAACTTCTTGGAGGCACTCAAAAAATCAATTGCCATTAACCAGAAGCTCCCTACTGCCTTCTACTCCTCAAGAAAAACAATTGCATTGCGCTCAGTCCAGCTGGGAATTCCAGGGCTAAAAAAACATGGAAGGATATTACCACCAGAAAAACAGTAAGAAATGACCTATTGTTCTTGTTTCAGAATACTATTGCATAATCAGCATTTAGAGAAAAGCTTACAGGGCTTGAAGTAATTTCCATGGCATGTCAAAGTCTTCAGAGCTCAGAAAGTCTGGAGACAATCTGATCTTGACAAATCACACCAATTACTCTTTTCTCCTTCCCTGACACAGCAATCTCAACTTCAGTTTGCAGCCAGCCAGTCTCTACCTTCCACAGTTCTCTCTCCCTCCCTTTAGGCAGCCTGGATTCGGGCAGGATGGATGCCCCTTGCACTCTACTGTCCAGGGCAGAAAGGGAAGGGTAAAATAACCCAGCCCCACAGCCCAGGAAATGCCCTGTCAGAGACAGGCAGATGTGCCACCTTTCTTGACCACTTCAGACATCTTGGATCAGTCACCAAAAGCCCTGATCTGATTTCTTACCAGTTTTAATTTACACATTAATGGCTGCAAGATTCCTGAAGGCCACTACAGCTCCAGTGGGAGAAAAAAAAAAGAGGTTGAGGATGGGCTTGTGGAAATAGGAACAGTTTAGTGAAGGGAACAAAAAGCTTCTTTCTTATAAGTCTACCTCAAAGCATGGAATTAACATGATATCTGTACCTCCCAATTAGCTCCCACCAAAGGTTATTTTTAGATGCTCTTTCAGACTCTGCAGAGGGATGTTTCTTAGGTGATGTGGCTCAGCCCCAAGTCTCAGTGACCCAGGAAAGGGCCAAGGCTAGGAGAGAGAGGCTAACACCTCCTATGGTTACAGAATCACAGAATCATGAGGTTGGAAGAGACCTCTAAGATCATCAAGTCCAATCTATGCCCTCAGAATCTAGACTATAGCACAAATGCCATGTCCAGTCTTTTTTTAACATATCCACAGATGGTGATTCTACCACTTCTCTGGGAAGAGCATTCCAGTACTTTATTATCCTGTCAGTGAAAAATGTTTTCCTAATATCCAACCTATACCTTCCCTGATGCAGCTTGAGACTGTGTCCTCTGCTTCTATCAGTGCTGCCTGGTGGTTCAGCTCCTATGGCTGGTGAATTCAGAGTTAACTTTGCACACTGAGCTCAGACCCTGTCCCTGTGGCTGTCAGCTCCTATGGCTGGTGAATTCCGAGTTAACTTTGCACACTGAGCTCAGACCCTGTCCCTGTGGCTGTCAGCTCCTATGGCTGGTGAATTCCGAGTTAACTTTGCACACTGAGCTCAGACCCTGTCCCTGTGGCTGTCAGCTCCTATGGCTGGTGAATTCCGAGTTAACTTTGCACACTGAGCTCAGACCCTGTCCCTGTGGCTGTCAGCTCCTATGGCTGGTGAATTCCGAGTTAACTTTGCACACTGAGCTCAGACCCTGTCCCTGTGGCTGTCAGCTCCTATGGCTGGTGAATTCCGAGTTAACTTTGCACACTGAGCTCAGACCCTGTCCCTGTGGCTGTCAGCTCCTATGGCTGGTGAATTCCGAGTTAACTTTGCACACTGAGCTCAGACCCTGTCCCTGTGGCTGTCAGCTCCTATGGCTGGTGAATTCCGAGTTAACTTTGCACACTGAGCTCAGACCCTGTCCCTGTGGCTGTCAGCTCCTATGGCTGGTGAATTCCGAGTTAACTTTGCACACTGAGCTCAGACCCTGTCCCTGTGGCTGTCAGCTCCTATGGCTGGTGAATTCCGAGTTAACTTTGCACACTGAGCTCAGACCCTGTCCCTGTGCCTCTGTGAGCTCCTATAGCTGGCAATTCAGAGTTAACTTTGCACACTGAGCTCAGACCCTGTCCCTGTGGCTCTGTCAGCTCCTATGGCTGGTGAATTCCGAGTTAACTTTGCACACTGAGCTCAGACCCTGTCCCTGTGGCTCTGTCAGCTCCTATGGCTGGTGAATTCCGAGTTAACTTTGCACACTGAGCTCAGACCCTGTCCCTGTGGCTCTGTCAGCTCCTATGGCTGGTGAATTCCGAGTTAACTTTGCACACTCTGAGCTCAGCCCCTGTCCCTGCCCAAGCTGTCCCCAGCTCAGCAGAGCACGGCAGTGCCAGCAGCCCCTCTGTGCCCAGGGCAGCACCGGCCGGAGCAGCGCTCGCTCTGCGGCTCAGGAACTGCTCCCTGCCTCGCCGCCCCGCTCCGGCTGTTGCCCCAGCACGGGACACGGTGCACGGGCCTCTCAGCAGAGGCAGACAGACGGACGGACAGGACTCACACCCACCTTGTTGGTGCGCGGGTTCAGCATGAGCGGCTTGCCCTTCTCCTTGGTGTGCAGCCCGCGCCGCGCCGCCGCGCAGGGCGCCCAGGCCGCGCGCAGTCGGGACAGCATCCTCGCTCCTCCGCAGCACCTGCCGAGGCAAAGGCAGCACTCAGGCACCTCGCAGGCCAGCAGAGCCCCCGGACACTCCCGGGGCTCCCTGCTGCCACAGGGAAGCCCTGGCAGCGTGAGGCTCCTTTTAACACCGGGAAGTAACAGCCCAAAACCGCCTTGCGGCAGCCAGGAGGAAAAGGCAGGAAGGGCTTGGAATGCTGAGAGCACAGAGTGAGGGAACGCAGGGATCCTCCCGGCAGAGCAGAAATGCCAGCAGTGATTTTAGCTGTGACCTGTGGACCCGGCACTGGCGCAAATGCCAGCCAGGATGGGACAGCCTGGGTAGGCGCAGCCACAAAATCCTCGCTGAGATCCTCTGGAGCTCTCCTGGCCTGGACAGCACGGGGGAGAAACTGTGTCTGTCAGCATATTGAAACTCTTGCTACAACAAAATGTGGAATTAAAATGGCCAAAAACTCCACTGAACTGGGGATTCCAGGTTCAAGTTTTTACAATTCCAAACTTTAAAAAGTTTTATTTTCAGAGAGAATATATCCTTTACAGTAAAGGATGTTTCCTTAAAAGAATTTAAAATTGTTTGTATAACCCAAGTTCTAATCCTGACAGGTGTTAGCAACTCTTGAACTCATTTTAATCCGTTATTGATCACAAGCTCTTTGGTGAAGAAATTACCATTTACCACGTGCTCGTATAAGGCAGGAGCAGCAGGGAATGCGCAGTGGATTCACCTCCCAAAGATTATTTCACTGAGAGAGAGAGAGAACAGGAAGCAGGGCAGGACCTCAGCAGGACCGTGGTCTGTGTGGTGACACAGGGAGGGGACACACCAGGACACAGCCAGGACAGCAGGGGACCAGGAGAGGGGTCCCGTCACCCCCAGCCCAGCTACACTCACAGCCCAGACAGGCAGGGACAGTAAAGCAGGGCATGAGATATTCGTAAGGAATGAAATGATGCATGGCTTGCATTTTTAATTTCTTCCAGATGGGAGACAAAATTGAATTAAGGAACAAAACTTCATTATCTTAAACATCGCCTGAATACTTTAGAAGACCTGCTCTAATCAAATTTGCACATAATCAGCTTTTAAGATGGCAGACTGGCCTGGCAAGTTACAGTCCGAGGATTTTCTTGAAAATTTTTCCAAGCATTAAAAAACTATTTAACATTTAACATTTTTCAGTATCAGTTATGCCCGAGTTTCTCTCCTACCCACTAGGAAGGGTAGAGGGAAGCTGCTCTGCATCCAGAAGCATCCCTTCCTCTCAACCTTCACTGGTTTGTTTAGGCCTATGAATGACAAAAATTCCACTCAAACCCCCCATGCTGATTTGCTTTGGGGTAAAGACCATAAATTTGCTGCGTGGAGTGGGACAGGAGGCAGGGGAGGAAGCCTTGCCAGCATCACAAACAAATGCTGCCTCTCACGTGCTTGTTCCTCCCCAAACCTGCTGGTGGTGGAGCGAGCACAGCTGGCCTGCCAGGGAAATCAGGATCAGACCAGGGAAACTCATTCTGTCCTGCAAAACACATTAATTCCGTGGTGCCTTTAGGATCACCAGATTCAGCTTTAACTGGTTTTAGCTCTGGTTGCTCACTTGCCATCACCCCAAGGCTGCAGGTCCATCTCCCCGTGCAGGGGAGCCCAAAAATGGTCTGTGATTCCAGTGCCACAGCAAACCCCATCCCAGAGTCCCACCAGCCTGGTGCCACCGTGGCGCCAACCTGTCACCAGCAAAGACCTCAAACAAGGAATCAAAAAGCAGAACAAGCACCACACCCTACCAAACTCTAATTAAATTTAAATTGCTTCGGTGCAATTAATGAGCATTTAAGAACCAAACAAGATTGTGGCCTAGATTCACCTGAACTTGATCAATTAACTCTAATCAGCGAGGCAGAGGGGAAAAGGCTTTTCAGAGGTGACACAAATCTTGCTTTCTTCCCTGATGTGTGAGAAAGGAGACTTGCTCCTCTCCGAGGTGTCACACCAGCACCTAAAGTTATTCTCTTGATGGAGTTATCTCAGATTCATCGAAGGGGAGAATCAAGTTTCATTTTCCACTGAGCCCTCTGTTTAGATCCAAGAGATATGATCCCAGTTAATTTATACCCATCACAAAACCTGACTGGTCACTCAGCCCTGAGCTCTCCCTCCCCTGCTCTTCTCATTGTTCCCTGTTTGTTTCCTCTCCCACCCTGCACATCTCCTCCTTGTTTCCTCTCCCACCCTGCACATCTCCTCCAACTCCTTTTGTCACAGACTTTTGAATGGTGGTTTAGCAAGGGCTTGCCTCCAAAACCCACCTTAACATGACCTACCCTGACCCCACAAGCAGGAAATCCTCCCCCATGCCTGTCCAGCAGCTCTGCCTGCATGGCCGTGGCCCTCTGTGACCCACCCCAGCTCTGCTGGCCACCAGCCTTGTCCCCTGGACTTGTGGGGAAGGACAAAGGGACACCAAGCCTCACACTCTATGGCTCACCTCTGCTGGGGAGCCACAAGAACAGGTCTGGGGGAAAGGTCCCCAAAAGGTCCCTAAGCCACCACGTGGTTTCAAGGAGATGGAAGGGCTGGGTCGTGCTGCTGTCTGGGGAGGCTCTAACATGGCTTGTGATGGGTTTGTAAGAGACAGGCCAGGCTTGAGAGGGTGGGAGTTAGACCACAAAAAACAGGAGAGATCATTTTGGCAGTAGAGGCTGACAGAGAATCTCAGAGTGGTTTGGGTGGGAAGAGATCTCAAAGCTCACCCAGCCCCATCCCCTGCCATGGGCCAGGACACCTTCCACTGTCCCAGGCTGCTCCAAGCCCATCCAGCCTGGCCTTGGGCACTGCCAGGGATCCAGGGGCAGCCACAGCTGCTCTGGGCACCCTGGGCCAGGGCCTGCCCACCCTGCCAGCCAGCAATTCCTGCCCAAGATCCCAAAATCTGTGCCTGCCCTGTGGCAGTGGCAGCCATTGCCTGTGTGCTGTCCCTGCAGGCCTTGTCCCCAGTCCCTGTGCAGCTCTCCTGGAGCCCCTGGAGGCCCTGGCAGGGGCTCTGAGGTGTCCCTGGAGCCTTCTCTTGTGCAGGGGAACAGCCCCAGCTGGGCCAGGCTGGCTCCAGAGCAGAGGGGCTCCAGCCCTGGCAGCATCTCTGTGGGGAAGGAATGTGAACGGAGGGAAAGAGCAGCACCTGCTACGATGTGAAAACACAAGGAGGATGGGGCTCCAGAGCAGAGGGGCTCCAGCCCTGGCAGCATCTCCGTGGGGAAGGGATGTGAACGGAGGGAAAGATGTGAAAACACACGGAGGACGGAGCCTGTGCAGTGTCCTGTGAGGAGGAATTAGGAGGAAAACAGCGGAACTGAATGAGGAATAAATTCCTACCCAAACCTGTGTCAGCATAACCAGGATCTCTGCTCTCACTCTGTCCGCGCCTGACAATGGTGAAAACTACTCCAGACTGTGGAGCACCTCTAGACTGAGTCCAGCACAGCTGGGAATTTCTGAGTTGCTGTGTCACAAATTAAGGGGATTAAATCCATCAGCACACCAGAGGACAGCTCCCTGCTGTGCCTTATCAGGAGGCATCTGCCCAGGTCAAACTAATTACCGATATGCACAAGCGCCCTTATCTGGGAGCAAATGTTCTGCTGCTCCAATTATGGATTTGTTAAATGGCAAAACCTACTTTTAAGGGAAAGGTTCATCACGCTCTTAAAAGGCAGAATTAGGTTGGCCAGAGAGTCGGGAAGTTCAGAGTCAATTAAAGCAAGGCCAGCTTCAATTAGTGCCCAGGCTGCCTGACCTGTGGGTCTCCCCTCAGTGCCAAGGAGTGTCTGTCCCTGCACAGCAGCTCGGGGAGGATGACTCTGCAGCCTGCCTTCAGTCTGAAGGCTGGGGAAACACAAATGCATTTCCAGCACTCCTGAAACCCTGTGCCAGTGATTTGTTCCAGCCTTTCTTTGCTGTACAGAAACTGACTTGTGCTGAGGAGCTTTTTATGTATTGACAAGCTGAAATAATTAATCCAAGGCCATGGAGGCCCCACAGAATTTCCAATCTTTAAGGCCTTAACCCTTTCTAACCCAATAGACTCTCTCCTCTGCCCCCACAGCCTGCACCACCCCAGGTCTGGAGTGGATGCACCACACTCTATTATCTTTTTTTTTTACAGTAATAACCAGCCCAGCCTGGCCCACCCAAGCATGACACAAACCAGGCACACACTAGCTGGCTTCATCACCTCAGTAACGATAAAGCAGTCTAAAATTATTACATTAGGCGAGCACAGGCTATAAGTGTGTCTCCCCACGAGACTTCCACCTAAAGGAAGCAGCTCTCCCTGCACACACCTCCCTCCAGCAGGACAAGGAGTCACTTTTGTTCCAGAACAGGAGCATCCCAGGAGGAGGGAGCAGAGGGCCGAGGAGGGGGCGCGTGGTTCTGCACAGCAGCTCGGCACCTCTGGCTCCCTGAGCTGAGCAGGTGCCACTGCTGAGGAAAGCCAGCAGGAAACACTGGCAAAACTATTTCAGGTCCCCTCCAGCAAAGTCCTGGGCCACCCCTTTAAAGGACGTTTCTAAGGCACCTTGAGATCTGCAGATTAAAAGGAACAGTCACGGGCAGAAATTACTAATGAAGTGTTTGGCGGAGGCAGGCGGGTTGTTTTGGAAGCAGATCTTTAGCATATTGGAATTGCTTTTCTTCCCTTTCATTCTGAGGCAGCCTGTTCAACAGGAAGAAAAGTTAGGTGTGGAGCACCCAGGCAGAGTGAGCAAGCTCACCGCTTGAGGCTGGAAACATTCACTAAAACAAAGCACACTTAGGTGAGCTCGGAGGAGAATGATTCAGAACACTTCCTAAACAGAGTACTTCTCAATTTCTGTAATTTACAGTACTATCAGACTTCTTGCAGCACGAGCAGAAAATATGGCTGAATTGTTTGGTATTGGGGTCCTGGTTGGTAGCAGCTCTTACCAGACAACATCAGAGAGCTGTATTTTTATACATTTACTGACCTAAATATTCTGATTGTTAAGCACCAGCAAGTCCATTATCTTTTACTGTGGAAACTGCAGCAGCAGTATTTTTGGCCAGGTCTGACACGATTTATTTTAATTTGTGTAACTAGGAGGGCCACTGGTGGTAAAGGTAAGGACAAAGACCTCATCCTAAAAGCCCTCGGGAGTACTCCAGGAATAGCAGAAAGGTACTCAAGCTCTGCAGAACTGGCACGCTCCTGTGCTGGAGCTGTTCAACTCAGAAACACAGATTTTGTTTTTGGATACAGGCTGAGGGGTGGACAAGGATGTTGCCAACAACTGAGGCACGTACAGACGGGAGTTCTTCCTGGGAAAGCAGCTGAGCACTGAGCAGAGAAGCCGAGCTGCTGGCCTGCCAACTTCTTACAAACCTCGGCGTGCGCTGGCCAGGGCTTCAAAAATAAATACCCCACCTAAATTACAGAAGAACCTGAGAGCCTACCCATGCACCACGAGCTACCAGTGCTGCTCCACTGCAGGGAAGGCGCTGGCACCTCTCGTAAAGATGAGCATTCAATTAGCACTCACTCAACCACAGCGTGCTGCCACGCACTTTGACAGCTTCTGCCTTACTTTGCAGAGCAAAAAGCTCCAAATCTTGCCTGCACTCAAGCTGCTGACTCACAAGCCACAGCGCAGGACTATCAGAACTTCCCTCCTGCGACTGTAACACACAGTTTCTTCTAAAACGCAGGCTCAGGTTAAATTTCTACAGATGTTATAGCTTCTAATAAGGCATTAGACACTGCTGGCTGCACACACACGGGCCACCTGCAGAGCTGCACATTCTGCCCAGCTCTTTCATTTGCCCACATGTAAATCACACGTACATAGAACACCTCCCTTTGATGCTCACTCCTTTTTGGAATTACCAACACAAAGACACCAAATAATCGACATTTGGTGGTTTTGATTTTGCTTGGCTGCAAGTCTGTCCTTTTTCACCAACCCTTTATCAGCGTGCTGTAAGTTCGGTTTGGTTTTTTCTCCTGTTAGTTATGCGATTCTTGCCATGACACAACACCCCGGGCTGCTCAGACACCACCCCTTAGTCAGTACATTTTAGAGGAGCGTGGAGCCAGCCCCGGCCGCTCCGCCGAACGAGCAGCCAGGAGGCCAAACCCAAACAGCAGCTCCGAAGGACCGGGCGGCGCTTCCTGCTCCAAGGCCGCGCCAGCTGCTCCGCTCCTTCCCAACTTTCACTCTCCAGGGCCACGGGGAAGTTCAGGGCAGGTCGGGCCCGGCGCGGGGGGGCGGCGGGAGCGGCTGGGCCCGCTGGGTGGGCGCTCCCCGCGGCCTCGGGCAGCTCCATTTGTCACCGTTCTGACAGGGGTAAACACGCACGGGCACAGCCGGGGCTGCTTCCCGCGGCTCCTCGCAGGCACCTCCGCACCTGCCGCAGGGCCCAGCGCTGCCTCCGCCGCAGGCCGAGCCTCGGGGCCTCGCACCGCCGTGCTGCTGCTTCGGTACTACCCCCCGCGGGGCCGGACCGGGGACACGGAGCATCCCGGGCGGGCTCCATCCCCTCCCCGCGCCCGGGCGGCCTCCAGCCCCTCAGAACGCCCCGCAAACACGGGCTTATAAAGAGAGAGAGAGGCCTGTGGTGCGCCGCCGCAGTTGTATAATTGTTACCAGAACGGGATCTACCTCCTCCTGCGGCTGCTACCCGCTGAGCGATGCCGGCCGAGGACCTGTTCCTACTGAGCGAGAGCAGCGCCCGCCCGTCAGAGCTGCGTCCACCGCAGAACCCGCCACTGAATGGAGCCAACACCGAGGCGCCCGGGAGGGACACCCCGGGAGGCGGGTGTTGGCCGTGACTGATAACTGGCCTAGCCAATAGAAGGGAAGGAAGCTCGCCGGCTCTGGTGGCGTTTGGCCAATGAACGTTTTATCCCGCCCCCGCAGAGGGGAAAGCGGGACAGGCGCGGCGGGGTGGGATCTGTCACAGGTTAATTGGACTGGCGAGACAGCCAATCAGCGCGGAGGGGCGGGGCGAGACTGGGGATGGGGGCGTGAGGGGACGGGGAACGTGAGGGGAACGTGAGGGGACGGGAATGGGAATGGGAATGGGAATGGGAATGGGAATGGGAATGGGAATGGGGAACGTGAGGAGACGGGGACGAGGATGGGAATGGGGAACGTGAGGGGACGGGGACGAGGATGGGAATGGGAATGGGGAATGTGAGGGGATGGGAATGAGGAATGTAAGGAAATGAGGAATGGGAATGGAGAATGGGAGGGGATAGAGAAGAACGGGAGGGGATGGGAATGACAGTGGCAATGGCAGTGGGAATGGGGAATGTGAGGAGCTGGGGTCCACAAGGGCACAGGGCTGTGAGGAGCTGGGGTCCATGAGGAGCTTGGATCCATGAGGGAACGGGGCTGTGAGGAGCTGGGGTCCGTGAGGAGCCTGGGTCCATGAGAGCTGGGGTCCATGAGGGCACAGGGCTGTGAGGGGACAGGGCTGTGAGTGCCGTGTGGCACCCAGGATGGTGAGGACCATGGCTCCACAGAGGCATCCCGCTGTGGAGGAGGCTGAGGGGGAAAGGCAAAGCAGGAGGAAGGAGCAGAGAGCGGAGGCAGGGAAATGAGGTCACTCCACACAGAGTTCCTTGTGGCAATGTGGAAGCTGCTCCCAGTGGCCAGGGCCACCGTGCTGGATGCTCTGCATGGAATAGGGCTCCTCAAAACATGCTGAGGTAAGCCCTTGCTGGTCTCCTGCCTCACGGAGCCGGGAGGGCTGGGATACCCTTGGACTCAAAGGGAAGGCTTGGCAGAAGTCATCGAGGCAGCTAATACCGCAGGTCAGCACTGGAACTGCAGAAGAAAAGAGCAAAACCATCACTTTTCACAATAACACTTGGCTGTTTGTCCTCGCAAAGGTCTCACCACAATGGAAGTGATACCCATCCCAGCTCAGCCTCCACAGACTTTAAAGAGGGAAAGTACAGGGGTATTAAACATCCCAGCTCAGCCCATCCCAGCTTTGTCTGCCTCCTCTCCAGCCCAAACTCAGATATTTTCCAGTGCTGTAGATCTTGAGACTGTTAATCACACAATCCTGGAATGGTTTGGGTTGGAAAGAAGCTTAAATCATCCATGGGCAGGGACACCTTCCCCTCTCCCAGGCTGCTCCAAGCCCCATCCAGCCTGGCCCTGGGCACTGCCAGGGATCCAGGGGCAGCCACAGCTGCTCTGGGCACCCTGGGCCAGGGCCTGCCCACCCTCACCGCCAGCAATTCCTGCCCAAGATCCCATCTCATGCTCCCCGCTTTCAATTAAAAAGAGAAATTTTTATTTTAACAAGAACTTTTATTAAGTAAGAATTTTAATTCTCTGCCACCAGCACCGAACACGATTTAAATAGTTTGATGTACAAAGGAGCAGGGTGCAGTTAAAAGAAGCAGAGTCACTATAGTAACAGTATCAGATATGTAAAGCTACTTAATCAAAACCCCCTCTCCTAATTATGATTTTGAGGCCTGTCATGAGGAGCACATTCAGCTGCTTTCCCCCTCCCCTCCTGTCAGCATGACCGTGCCGGGTTTGAAACATTTCTGAATAATGCACCTATAAACAAAAGAGATTGCGAAAATAACCTGCAAGGTCATGCCTTTGCGCCAGGCTAAAAATAGCCCAAATTGGAGGCATTTAAAAACGCCTGGCTTCGTACCCAAACTGCATAAATCACTTCTGCTGTAAACCCGCGTCACTCCAGGCCGAGCGGAGGATATTCCCCAGGATCACCTAATGAGCAGCTGGGGCCTTGCTGAAACACGCTTTGTTGTGCAAGCAGGGCTGCCTGGGGAGCTGGGCTGTAATTAGCGACAGCAGGGGAAAAGCTGTGCCCCAGGGGGCAGGGAGAGCTGTCATTTCCAGAGGGCACCCGCTGCCTGCCAGCCCACCTGGCACCACTTTGCTTCGTTCCCAAATCCAGGCTCCAAGCCTTTTCCGAGACGCAGGTCACTGTGCAGAGGAGGCCTGGCCCAGCACGGCCCAGCACGGCCCCAGCTGCCACGGGGAGCAGCAGGGCCATGGAACCGCAGAACCATTGGGGATGGAAAGGCCCTCACAGCCTAACCATTCCCCAGCACTGCCAGGGCCACCACGTGTCCCCAAGTGCCACATCCACCTGGCTGAAGGGATGGGCACTCACCACTGCCCTGGATGGCTGTGCCAGGGCTGGCCAGCCCTTTCCATGGGGAAATTCCTGCTGGTGCCCACCCTGAGCCTGCCCTGGCCCAGCCTGAGGCCGTTCCCTCTCCTCCTGTCCCTGTTCCCTGGGAGCACAGCCCGACCCCCCCGGCTGTCCCCTCCTCTCAGGAGCTGTGCAGAGCCACAAGGTCCCCCCTGAGCCTCCTTTTCTCCAGGCTCAGCCCCTTCCCAGCTCCCTCAGCCGCTCCTGGGGCTCCAGCCCCTTCCCAGCTCCAGTCCCTCGCTGTCTGTCTCTGTGAGCGCCTGTGCTGCAGAACCAGAGCAGCAGCTGCTCCTCCTTCCTCCGCAGGGCCTTTGTCACCGTATTTGGAGCTCGCTCGGAAGTCTCCCCTGGCACACGGGACGTCGCTCTGCTGTTGCCAAGAGAAGCGCCGTGACCCCTGGAGCTCCTGGGCTCCCTAAATCCAGCCAGCACGGAGCTGCCGCCCCTCCTGGCGGGGCTGGAGCGGCCCCCGGAGTGCCGGGTGGGAATCCATTCAGGAATTTTTAATGCAGCAGATGGCTCTTTCATGATCACTCCACGTTTCCTGCGTGCACAGGCCGTTTTGTTCTGCTGGGGCTCCTTTCCAGAGGGAGACAGTGGTTTGTGCTAAATTAAAACTGCATCTCCCAAAAATCATCACTGTTTGAAGGTAGTTCTCGTAAACCACACCAAGGTGGTTTCTTAAGTCACTCCCACCATCCTAAAACTGTATTACATTTCTCTTTATCGTCTTCCTAAGCTTCTGGTCATCTTCTGCTTGTTTTTTGTCTCTTTGCTGAAGAGAATTTCCTTTCTTTCTCCATTTTTCTTGTGATAAACCATAGTGGTTTTAACCACTTAATGCCTGATAAAGTACACAGAAGACTTTTGTTCCCCATCCTTGAGATAGTTTTGACTCTCCTTTCTGTAATATTTTCCATTTTTCAAGTATCTTATTTAAAGTATCGTCACCAGCACTGGACCCTGTGTTCTTGTTTTTCCTGTCACTGATCTTTGATGAAAATAACTAAACTAAAATAATCTCTGTTCTAGATGCCTAGATCTGTCCTTTCATTCCTTCCATGGTGCTGCACTGTCACTCCCATAATCTCACTGATAATGTGGCTCTCTGTGTACAGCTAATACAGAACAAATAATTATTTAAGCAGTGATACTGGCTTTTATCTCACTCCAATCTCCGAAGGTTTTGCAGTATGGACCAGCAGAACAAGACATCCCTCAGAAGGTTTCTGTGTTTTGATGAAAACTGGCCTCTTGGCCTTCTGCTCTTTATTTCTGTTAAAAAGCAATGTTGATTGTTCACTCTGACACGTCTGGTACAGAGAAATGACCCCACTGACTCTTCACATTTCCATGAGGCTGAAGCAGTAAGGATGATGGCTGCCCCGAGGCAAGGTTTGTGAAGAAAAATAATGTCTTTTTTTTACACCAATTCCACTAAAAGATATTACTGCTGTCCACCAGCCTTGCCCTTTTTAGTTCTGTAGAGCAACAACAGAGCTAAGTATGTTTACACTGTTTCCACTCTTTGCATTCAGTTTCTGACTGGTAATTTCATTCTGTTTTAAAGCATTTCTGTGTAAAGTTTCTCATTTAGCCTTTTTGGGTGTGCAGAAGTGTCAGGCCCTGAGACCAGCTCACATGGGAACAGCCCACAGTGGTGCTGAGTGACCAATTCCTTTGTCAGTGACTCTCACTGTAGGTTAACAGGTATGTCTTTTTCTGCCTCTTAATTTATGTTTTACTCTCTCTTCTTGTGATCTGCAGCCTCTTTTTAGGCCAGATTGACCTCAGGTTGGATCTAATCTGCTGAACTGCTGGACAGCCAGGGACACGGTGAGAAATCCTGAGATGGGCTGACCGGGTGAAAGCTGGGCTGGATAGAAGGAAGAAGCCCCTTATGGTGAGGATGGTCAGTTCATTGGGTAAGTTAAAATGAGGATGGCTGTCGGGGTCTGTTGTTATGTGTCTCTGCCCCGACACGGGGAAAGGTGGTTCTGGGCGGCCGCGATTGCGAAGGATGAGTCTGCACTCTCAGATTTTCGGTCTTCAGTTCTGTTTATTATCTCTTATCTACAAAGTTTTCTCTTTGCCCAGCCGAGGCCCGCTCAGCAGGACAGTCGAGTGCACTCTCCCCCGCCCACAGGGTGGTTGTGTCTTTTATAGTAAAAATTACGTGTGCCATATTTACGTTTATTTCCCAATACTATTCATCCTTATAGACAAGTGCACTTTCACTATGAACCAATCTCCAAGTGCCAACATCACCACACAAAATGGAAGACATGAAGAAGAAAGAAGAACACAGGACCACACCCTGAATCCTCCATCTTGCCTTCATGACCCCCCTGTACCTATTTTTCTAAAATTTATATTTCCATCCATAAAAGTATCATTCACACCCAAGAAGCTCTCATTTCCTCCGTCACAAGTTCTTCTCCTTTTGATGGATCGAAATCCAACCACCAAACCCTTTTGGCATCATTCCAGGGTTTCCGAGCCCCCCAGGGGCTCCCCTGGTGTCTCTGCACATCCACAGTGATGTGCTGAGATCCCACAGATG